TTTTTTTTTGGCTCGCAGGCTTGACGGAGCACAAGCTGCCAAATTGACTTTGATTCCCAGAAACACCAAGAGGGGTGTGGGTGTAGGAGGGGTGTGGGTATAAACGACCCACACTTTCTGGCAAGGGTCACGGAATTCTGTTAAGGACCCGCATGTTCTGGCAAGGGTCGCGGATTTCTGTTAGAGCCACTCTTTTTTTTTTTCATTTTCGGAACAAAATCTTTATTTATTTTTTTAAACAAAACTTTTTTTTTTTTTTTTTTTTTTTTTTATTGGCCGAAAACCGGGTCCAGCGTCCCTTACATCTGTACTGCAGCTTTACAGGCTGGGTAAGGCACTCCCAGCCAATCCCATCCCTTACAAAAGTCAGGCAGTCGAAATTGGAGGCGAGACATCATCGGTCAAGCCCAAAATTCAGACTGCAATTGCAAACCAAATCACACACTATACTGTCACACACTGAAAGAAAAAACAAGGAGTAGTGAACGAAAAAATGTAACCAGCAGTGTCTGAACCATTGTCCGTCTAATGATCACCACGGTTTGAACAGAGTTCTTTCCATGGTGTTCTTCTTTGTAGTTCTGGCATAATTTATTATTTTCGAATATTTAGAATTTCCAATTTTGATTGTAATATCGATGTTGAATTGACAAGCCGTGGAGCATGTCCTGAGGGGACCCCACATAGCACTTTGTAGAGCACGTCCCAAGGCGACCTCATAGACTTCGTTAAGCACTTCCCAAGGGGACCCCGTCAAATTAGTTGCTTTCGGATGGGATTCCACATCATTCCAGTTGTATAGAAACATCTCGTTTTTCTCTTTTTATAACAATGGAATAATATATATATATACGAAACAGTTTGTCACAGCCCCTCGTTTGTTGTCCTCTTCTCTCTCTCTGCCTACGGTTTACCGGGCAGTTCTGTTTGTGACGATATAGAAACATCTCGAACTGAGAATTTTATCTGGGAAAAATCAGCATAACAATTGAGCACGAAATCAGAACAGAGTGTACTACCAAGGAAGCAATTATCCTGGAAACGAATCCTGAAAACCTGATCCAAAAAAATCAAGATCGATCGTAGATAAACCTTCATTATGCATAGTCAAACTAGAAAAGGGGATCCAGGTATGGGGCAGGGCCCTCCACAGATGGAGGGTATCAAAAGATCGTACACACGCAGCGGGAATATGCCATATCAGAGCCGACAAAATTTCACACCCTCTGTACGTTGTCAGGCGGCCACAAGCAGTGCGCCGCCTGAAATCTGGGGTTTTGGGTCTTAGGCTCAAAGACAAGTCCGTGTTTTGACGGTGCTCCGGGTTGACCAAGCAGCAAAAATTAGGGGAGCTTAAGGCACCCCTGATTTTGGGCGCGCTGAACTTTTCGAGCAACCCTCAAAGACGACGAGATGAGTGGCCGCACTAGGCGCGACCGGGGCCGAAATGAAGCCTCAAATTTTTGCCCATATTAGTACCACAATTAAAGATGGGGAAAAGGGATCAAGGCCAAAAGTGGAGGAAGGAAAAATATAATATCCCTTAATTTCTTTATTTTTCGCGGCATTTGATTCTAAGGGGAATATCCTTGTTATTTTGTGTTCCCGACAGAGAAATTAAAAACATAGAAAAAGATTAAACATGGAAAAAGAGTAAAGAAACAAAAGAAATTCGTTCATTTATTTAAACTTTCTCGGAATTTAATTTTGGGGAATTTACGGTTGATTTGCTATTTTCGACAATAGAATTAAGAAGAAGGAAGAATGATATAAAAAACGATGAAAGGGGCGGGAACCCACGATTATTGAGAGATTGGCCTTATTTCGCCTTGAATACCTGCCGTTGGCATTGACCCTGGATTGACCATTTTCCCCGGATTCTAACAGTTTTCACTTCTGCTGATGGTCGAGGAATCCTGCGTCGCTTTCCTTGTTGCCTGAATACTAACGTTGCCACAGTTGGGGTGTTCTGAGAGCGGGAGTCGCATGGACCACATGGGGTGGTGCTACCTTGGGTAGAGAGTATGGGATGTGGCTTGGTACGAGTAAGGGGGTTCAAAGAGATTCTACACTGTTATGGAGTGACTGCATCCTACCGAATCCGGGGTGTTTCTGGTTCGGTATGGGCACGGTGACCCTGGGGACGCAGCGGTGATTTATGTTTAGGACCAGAACCCCTACGACAGTTTATTTCAGGGTTGGAGCCAGCCGCGGTCCGGAACCGCTACGCCGCCATATTTCAGGGTCGGCGTCGGTTTGGCACATCCCACGATAACATTTTCACGCTCGGCAGCACTACGAAGGCTTATTTCAAGTACGGGACCTTGACAGCAGTTATTCCCGAATCGGCGCCATCACGGGTACTTATTTCACGTTCGGCGCTACCACGGCAATTTGTTTCAGGGTTGAGGCCATTACCGAGACATATTGCGGGCTTTGTAGTAATTCATTTCCAGGGCCGGGACCGGTACGACAGTTGCTTCGGGTTCAACATCAGTTTATTTCGGACTCGCTCCTACTGTGATACCTCGTTTCAGCTTCGGTGCCGTTACCGTGACTTATACTCAGGTTTGGGACACTGCGGCGATTTCTTAGAGGAAACATCATTTTCGAGAAATTGCTGAAAAAAGCCTTGATTGGCTCGCTGCTCAACTCATTTTCAGGAAGGTATCATTTTGGAGAAAATATTGAAAAGAGCCTTAATTGGCTAGCTGCTCAAATCATTTCCAGGAAAGTAACATTTTCGAAAAAAAATTGCTGAAAAGAACCTTGATTGGCTCACTGCTCTGAGCCTTGGGAACTGGCCAGCATATCATTTTCGGGGAATATTATTTTTGAGAAATTATTGAAAAGAGCCTTGATTGGCTCAC